AAAAATTATGCATATGTATAATCGTTAAAATATAACAAATGTTAATAAAATTAACATTTTCAATTATGTTCTTTCAATTAACCTTGCCCTATGCGGAGCAATGTGCAATTCTAGACGTGATGGCCGACCGTAATAATATTTTATTTTATATTAAGAAGAATAGATATTAAATGGTTTAAGTACCATTTTGGTCCCTCAACTTTTTACTTTGGCATCAAAACTGTTCTTCAACTTTAAAAAGTATCAAAATTATCCTTAAATTTTCATTTTCGATACCAAAACAATCCTTTCGTCAGTTAAATGACAGATATCACGTTAACTTGCCAACAAATCAATGCTTTTTTTTTTCTTAACTAATGACGTGGAAAAAAAAAAACATAGTTGGCCTATGAGTTGGCATTTTTATTTAATTTAAAAATAATGATTTTTTTTTTCATCCACGTCATCTCTTCTCCCTCTTTCACTTTCTCTCTCCTTTACCTTTCCTTTTCCCTTACCTTTGCAAACCCAAATCTGGGATTTGAGTTTCTCTCTCAAACTTCATCTTATTCCTCCTTTCCTCCTCCCTGCTCATCCTCCTTCTTTCTTCTTCTTATTCTTTCTCTCTCGTTCTCTTCTCCCTTCTTCTTCCTCTTTCAAACCCAGATCTGGGTTTTCTCAGTCGGAATCAATGCCTTTTGCGACGGCGAATCAGTGGCAGGAAAAAGCTAGTGGTTTTTTTTAATTGCGAATTTTGTCGATCTAGAGGGGCATAGTGAAATCTTGTCCAAAGATTTCGAGTGCTGGCTTGAATTCGTGTGTTTGGATCAAAATCTGGTTTCAATGAATGTCAATTTCATGGGTAGCAGCCACGTCTTGGTCAAAGAAAATGTAAGCTTTAGCTATGAGAACATAGAAGAGAGGAAAGGTAGGAACGGTTTCAAAAGGAGTTCGAGTTTGGAGAATTTGCAAAGGGAAGATAGTGAGGAAGTGAATGTTAGGGCTACAAGCAAGTACCTTGGGAGCTTGCTGAACCATTTCTTGTCGAAAATGTATCACATTTTGCAAACAAGACGAGCCCCAACAGTGATAAATCCTGGCAGAAACAGAAGAGGAAAGAGAAGTAGCGGTAGCCAAGGAGGAAGTGGGAGCCTGAGCATTTTTTGAAGATCGTTGATTGCTCTCCCACCCCAAAAAGACCTTTGCAGGGTCTATGGAAGGTGATTTGAAACCCTCAATCTACATTATGCTTGTCCATTAAAGTTTTGATTTTTTTTTTTTAATGTTCTATGATGCACTGCATTTGTCATTAGCCATTCTTAACTATTTCAGCACTATTTTTTCCTCTTTGATATGCAACTGTTAATTTGTTAAGTTCTAATTTGTGGTTTAAAGTTCAACATTGGGTTTACCTTTTGTTTGAGCTGACTTTTGTTTAATATATGCTACATTTGGTTTAGTATTTTGTGATTCCGATAAAAGGTTTAAATGCCACCGCAGAAGGCATTGGTTCCAACTGAGAAAAACCTAGATCTGGGTTTGAGAGAGGAAGAAGAAGGGAGAAGACAGAGAGAGAAAGAATAAGAAGAAAAAAGAAGAAGGATGAGCAGGGAGGAGGAAGGGAGGAAGAAGATGAAGTTTGAGAGAGAAACCCAAATCCCAGATCTGGGTTCGTAGAGGTAAGGGAAAAGGAAAGGTAAAGGAGAGAAAGTAAAAGAGGAAGAAGAGATGACGTGGATGAAAAAAAAATATCATTATTTTTAAATTAAATAAAAATACCAACTCATAGGCCAACTATGTTTTTTTTTCCACATCATTAGTTAAAAAAAAATTATTTGCTGACAAGTTAACCGTGACACTTGTTATTTAATTGACAGAATGATTATTTTGGTACCGAAAATGAAAATTTAAGGATAATTTTGGTACTTTTTAAAGTTGAAGGACAATTTTGATACCAAAGTAAAAAGTTGAGATATCAAAATGGTACTTAAACCGATATTAAATAGATACGAATAATATATTCCCATGAAGAAAAACAAACAACATACATGGGCCTGTTCTAAGATTTTTATTGGCGTTTGCTTATATTTAAATATTAAGAGCCCAATCTGTAAAACGCTGAACCTGTAAACATATGGCCCATATGTAATGTACGTAAAATTTTCTTCAACGGCTATAAAATTGGGCCGGTTGTGGCCTCAAACCCTCATATTCTTGTCATAAAAAAAATTATTATTGGATTATTTAAACTCATTAATAAAAAAATTATTTTAAAATCAACTAAATATGTACCCACTATTTAATAATGGTTGTTCGAATTTAATTTTTACTTTTAAGATAAAAATTAGTTGAAAATTTAATATAACATATAAAGAGCAATTGAATTTTTATTTCTTTTTATTAAGTAAAACTATTAAACAAGAATTATATATAGCCAAAGAAAAAAATCAATTGACATTAATTTGTTATGTAAAACTTTAATTAATACTACTATTGTTGAATTTAACTTCAGTTCAAAAAAATACTACTATTGTTGAAAGAGGTAGTATTAATCTAGAGATATGCAAAAATTGTGTGTTAAGAATTTTTTCTTCTTTTTTTTTTTTTTTTTTTTTTTTAGCGCAATGAAAACTTTCCATTATAGCACCGCCATACGGCATCTACGATAAAGCCTTATTTGGATAAGAGGAAATAACAAACAGAGAAGAGGAAATAACAAACAGAGAAGAGGAAATAACAAACAGAGAAAATACATTTGGAGAGAAAAGTCGGAGTAGACCCATTTCAACAGAGGATGAAGAGAGGTGAACAGTATTAACTCAATGTACTCCAAGAAGGGGGGTGAATTGGAGTTCTAAAAATTCTCCTCTTTTTGCAACCACAACACCCAAATTAAAGAGAGTAGAGAAGAAGAGTTTGCTCAATGATTTATAGAGGTTTAGTCCAACCACTTAGAGTCTAGTCCTCTACCTTGGCTTCACTCACCAAAGATTTCCTCCACACTCTCCACTAACAACAAGAGTGGCTTAAAGGAGCCACTCAATCATTTTACAAGAATAAGGGTGTTTCTCTCAAATCTCACCCTTTTACAAGATAAACCCAAACAATCCTCTTTACAAATCACTCTTAAAGGAATAGTCACACCCCCAAGATTACTCACAAATAGAACAAGAAGAGGATTACAAATAAAGATCTCTCAAAGATCAAAAACTCAAGTTAAAGCTCATGTAGGTAGGTAAAGATATTCAATACAATGCTCTCTAAACCTCTTCAGATCTGTTACCAACCATATTTATAGCCCCTTGCTCGAAAATAGTCGTTTCTAGCCATTGGGGGTCATTAAATGCCCTGCAGGACACAAAACTCGAGTTGCAAGATTGTTAGGAGAGCCGGCTTAACTTGCTAGAGCCAGCTCTGAACAACCGGCTCACCATTTCTGCAGCCGGCTTTGCGGGATTCCTGCACATTCTATTTTCCTCGAGAGCCGGCTGCAAAACTTTGAACCGACTTTGGAACTCCGACTTTAAATACATTAAATACTCTTCAAAAGAGTCAACCGTTGTGCATTAAATGCACCCTCATAGCCGGCTGCAAAGTTGGAGCCAGATTTGCGTCTTTTCTCCGAGCGCGCCAAACAATGGTCTTCAAATTTTTGCCCGTAGAACTGGCTGCAGCTTCCAGAGTCGGCTCTTTACACTTCCATTTCACCAAAGCCGGCTGCAGCTTTTAAGAGCCGGCTCTCTGCACATTTGAATCCTTTTGGTCTATTTTTAGTGCAATCCAAGTTTACTTGCAATCTTTTAGCAACTTAACTACACACTTAAATAAACCAATTAGTCACTCAAATGTGTTTTGTAATCATCAAAATCATAGGTACAACAAATAGTACACTCAAACAACCGCAAGGAACAAGTTTGTATAGATTTTGGGGGTCAAATGATCCAGCAAATGGGACACCCTTCAATCTACTCATGTAGGAGTGGTGCCAAGTCTCTAGGACGTCGAGGCGGGAAACCCATACAGGCGGTGACCATCCCCCTTAAGCATCATGAAAAGTGCGATGGCCGCTAGAGCTAGGGAGACCAACGAGCACTTCCAAAGATCTGTGTGATGGATAAGTGGCCTGCCGGATCTGAAAGCAAACAAGTAAAACAGAAAACAAAAAACCAAGAAAACAAAACAGAAAAACAAAAACAAAAAAAAGGCCGCCAGAAGGGGCCCAACAACCGATAGACCATAAAGGGTCATTGGAGCAGGGAGCACGAAGCCGGCTCCATCATGCTTGAGCAGCCGAAGATCTCGGCGGCTCAAGCATCAAAAACTCGGAAGCCCAAGGGCTTCCTATCTCAAAATAACGAAACGCAAATGAAGGTAATCAGAAGCAAGAGAAGAAGGTAGAGAGAGAGGAAAGATTTTTTCTGTTTTTTTTTTTTTTGTAGTAACCTCAGTATCCAGAAATTACGTTAGATCCTAACTAATTTAGAATCGAATCAGATCGGATCCCATATGGGGGGAAGCTCTTCTAACGTCTGTTTTTTCA